ATCAATTTTTTCCAAATCAAAACCAAACAGATCATGTACAAAACCCTCCATTTTGCTCCACAAAATGTTTTGTGTCTCTCTTACTGATACTGCGAGGTTTACCCTTTTGGACTTTTGTGTCCCTAATTGCGGCTACAACACAGTGATCACTCAAATCATTAGCAAATACTCCCACAGATGAGTATTTATGGGGAACATTAGTTAAGATGAGATCAATTAAGGAGGATTTATTTGAGAACTTAATGTTAGGGCGAGTAGGACTGTCAACAATCTGAATAACATTCAATGAGATACAAAGGTTTGTATGTGTTATATATCTTGGTTGTAATTATGTATGCATTATGTAGAGATCTTAACTACTTTATTTAGTGGCCTGTATCTTAATCCCTAAAAAATATAACGTTATTTTACTTCTTTATTTATATTTTTGCATCAATAATCTGAATCTGTATAGTAACTAGTAACCCTAACGAATCAGTAAAATATTGTCTAAAAAGTATAAAAAATGTAAATACTCAAGTAAAGACGCTTACAAAAACCTCAAAATCATACTCAAGTACTTGACATTAGTAGATCTGCTCAGTTGCATTCCCCTACTGAGTAGTAGTTCACTTACTACATGTCTTTATCATAGACTGTATAGGTCTTTATCCACATATCATCTCATGCACAATAGCGTAAATTTGGCAAAGAAAATCTTAAATCCCAGGCTCCTCTAACAATGCAACATATAATACTTAACACAAAAAAAATAGTGCAAGATAAAGATTGTCTAACTGTAATTGATGCCAACTGAACTATCCATGCAAACTAACACTAAACTGCTATCTGCTGATCAGTTCAATAAAATGTGTCTGAAAACTTCAAGAAATATCAGATTATAGATCCTCAAATTGTGTTTTTTTTCTTTGAGTAATGTCATTATTGCCCAAGGTTTTCCCACAGATGTTTCTCACTCCTATGTTTCACCCTCACAGACACACTGCCGGGTCATTTCCCCGGTACCATCAACATGCCGTTCCCTTCCTTCATGGACGCCTCTGGGAAGCAGCTGGACACTGAAGGCCTGTCCAAACTGTTCAGCGCGGCGGGGGTGGATCTGCAGCAGCCGCTCTGGGTCACCTGTGGCTCCGGGGTCACGGCCTGCCACGTTGTTATGGCCGCTGATATGCTCGGGTACCCAGGGGTCTGTGTTTATGACGGTTCCTGGTCTGAATGGTTTAAAAGGTCATCTCCGGAGTATATCATATCAGAGGGAAAGGGAAAGAAGGTGTGATAAGAAGCAAGGCTCTTAGTACAAGAGTGATAGATAAAGAGTATCACAGTAGCCTCATAGTGTACTTTCTAGTGATTCTGGGGAGATAGTACATGGGAGCTTGTTACGAAACGTAATAACTAACTTAACACGTTTCAGGTTCTAATTATCTACATTTGCAACGTATCTGACTTTCCTTACAGTTTCATATTTTAGAATGGTTTGCAGTATCTGGAAATAACATGAATGTTTTGTTTGTGTCTCAATGTAGCGTAGTTAAAGGACTCTAAAATGTATTAAGATAGGGGACATTTGATTGTTGTAATAAGTGCAATTTCATGATGGAAGCAGGTCAAGTTGATGTATTGATGAATGTTACAAATGTGAAAATAAATGGTTGGTTTTGTTATGCTAAATTTGGCCACAGTCACAGTGTCATCTCTTTTTTACCTTTGAAATATGTCCAGAGCGCATGACATGGAGGCACAACTCCTTTATTCAATAACCTGAAAAGTCAGAAGGGCTGCACACTGTAGGTTGGATAAATAATGATTGACCAAGTCTTCCTTTCAACTCATCTGAATTAAAGGAACCTATTTTCTTATATCTAGTTGTTACGTGCCAGGCAGGCTGTACTTGTGTGGTTCTCCTTCCCTCCTGTTTTTCTCTTCTCCATGGGTGTTTCTCAATCGCGAGTAAAGCTGCTTCAGAGCCACTATTTCAAGCATACTACGTCATCGTGTGCCGCCGAAGTACTGTTCCAATCTCCAGCATACTTGGAAATCTACCGAGCCCGGCGTACTCCGTTTGGAGAAATATCGAGGCTGCACATGAGTAGACTCCGCGGTCTTAAAATCCCCACAATGCTTTGCGCACGGACCAATTTCCCCAAATCTGTGGCGGAAGATGTAAGGCGGGGCCTCTCATATGACGCACACTTGCTAGCGTGTTCCACACTTCGTTTTCCGAATGCCAGGAAGTATTCTTGACTCGCTTCTGAAGCAAGATGCTCGGCAGACAACACCCCCCGGGTGTTTCTCAATCGCGAGTAAAGCTGCTTCAGAGCCACTATTTCAAGCATACTACGTCATCGTGTGCCGCCGAAGTACTGTTCCAATCTCCAGTATACTTGGAAATCTACCGAGCCCGGCGTACTCCGTTTGGAGAAATATCGAGGCTGCACATGAGTAGACTTCGCGGTCTTAAAATCCCCACAATGCTTTGCGCACGGACCAATTTCCCCAAATCTGTGGCGGAAGATGTAAGGCGGGGCCTCTCATATTACGCACACATGCACACTTGCTAGCGTGTTCCACTCTTTGTTTTCCGAATGTCAGGAAGTATTCTTGACTCGCTTCTGAAGCAAGATGCTCGGCAGACATGTGCTACCAAGCAAGCGTACTCGCGATTGAGAAACACCCAGAGTCTTCTGCACAGCTAATCAGCAGCTGATCAGTACCTGCCTGAAGGAGGCACCCAGGAAGTCTTCTCTCTCTCTCACTCTGGGCCTGTTGCTGACGGAGGAGCCTGCAATTGACTGCCTTATTAAGAAAGTCATTCTTTTTGTTTGGTATGACCTTTGTGAAAGTGTGTGTGTTGAGAGGTGGAGGAGTTAGGTAAGTCTGGGGTACCCTGTGCACTTCTCATCATGTAGATAACTAATGTTAAGACACACTAGGTTAGCGGATTGTTGCCACCCCTGTATTCTGTTTTTGTCCAATTCTGAGTAGTTTAGTTAGTGAGGGTTTTTGTTTGAGTTTTGGTTTCAAAGGATAGACGTAGAGATAGGCCTGGTTTTGTTATGCTTGTTTCTTTTGTTTGGCACAATCCTTCGACTCCTCCTCCTCCTCACACACTGTGGGTGTTTCTCAATCGCGAGTACGCTTGCTTGGTAGCACATGTCTGCCGAGCATCTTGCTTCAGAAGCGAGTCAAGAATACTTCCTGGCATTCGGAAAACGAAGTGTGGAACACGCTAGCAAGTGTGCAGGTGTGCGTCATATGAGAGGCCCCGCCTTACATCTTCCGCCACAGATTTGGGGAAATTGGTCTGTGCGCAAAGCATTGTGGGGATTTTAAGACCGCGAAGTCTACTCATGTGCAGACTCGATATTTCTCCAAACGGAGTACGCCGGGCTCGGTAGATTTCCAAGTATACTGGAGATTGGAACAGTACTTCGGCGGCACTCGATGACGTAGTATGCTTGAAATAGTGGCTCTGAAGCAGCTTTACTCGCGATTGAGAAACACCCAGAGTATTTCTGTAAGTTTTTCTGTTCAGTTCTAGGTTTACAAGAATAAACCTTTTGTCAACCTTTACGCTGACTCTCATTTTATTGGTTGTTGTGTGTTGTCTCCAGGTCCCCTAGACCTTAGTGGGGACGTAACACAAATGGGGGCTCATCCGGGATCTCTATTTACCTGAGCTAAAGACAACCAATAATTGAGAAGTCATTGTAGTTGTTGTACATTGGCTGAAAAAATGGGTTTTGACTTACAGGATTTTATTGAAAGTCCAAGTGTTGATAAGTTGTATTCCTGTCGCAAAGATGACATGTTATGTATTGCAGCTCACTTTAACATTTCAGTAGACAAGTATAGAGTAAAAAAAGAGCTAAGAGATGAAATCCTGCAAAAACTAGAGGAGTTAAAGATTCTTGTAATGATTCCGATGCCAAAAAAGTGCATTTTTTTTTTTTTTTTACATTGTTGCAAAGTTACACTTATGTAACTTGGTGTGAACTGTGAAACTTTAAAATAAATAAAAATTAAGGAGATAATAGGCCCTCAAAAAGAATGCAGCTTCTGCTCAGATTGTTTCAACAAAAAAGGGAAAAAATCGGGATGCTGACGCAGAGGAAATCAAAACTGGTTCAGTCCAGTTCCTGTTCTTGATTTGAGGTGTCTGGCAATATGCCCGATTTTCAGAACAACGTTTTTGCATTGAGGCTTTTGTTACACAATGGTGGGACTTTGTGCACCAGTCAAATGTATAATATTTGACTCAAATAGGACCATAAATGTGTATTAATGTAACAAAATAATTAATAAACTAGTGGGTAAGACTCTTTTTTTTAAAGAGTGCCTTAGGAGATGGCATCAAAAGCTGTGCACTTGTTTCAACCTGCACCATCGTCTTTTGCAATTTGGCATCTTTTTTAACATTATAGGTAATAACTTTTACTTTTTTGTGATGTCAGCTGTTGCTATGCTCCTTGGGGGTGAAAAGCAAAAAAATAGAAAAACAAAAGGCTATTACCACTGGGCAAAAGAGAACGAACAACTCTTTTTGAACGATTCTTCTCGAGGAGTGGACTTGCTTACTGAACCATAGTTATAGGCAGGTAGCACCATTGTTTAAATGTATTATCAATAATCTTAAAGCTGTTAAGACAACATCTTTCATGACTTAAAAGCGCAACTTACATTTTACTTGACTTGATAACAAAATTATATTATAATAGCATGCAGTCCCATCTACTTAAATAATATTTAGAAATAGTGCACATGCCTACTAAATACTACCCAGATGTTATAGATGCAATAGATATTGATGTGAATAAGATATTAATTTATAAATGAACTAAACAAAAAACGGGTAGTAAAAGGTGATTCGTTAAGGAGGAACGAGTCAAAATGAATGGATCCTCCGTAGGCGAGAACTACCCATAATGAACGCCACAACAAAGATGGCCGAACAACTATGACGTGTGTCCCGTCAACTGCCTGAAGGTCCTCAGGAAATAAACAAATTGGGGTCCTTCCTTGCGACAAGCTAGCTGTCGAAACGGTGTTACGAGTCACATTGTTTTACACAACTGTGGTAAATTGTCAAGAATAACACCGATTTATGACGATTAGATTGCAAAGGGAATGTTTAAATAATCCAAGTTTAATTCCGTTTGGTCTTTTTCTTCCTAACTGGCCCGGCAGTTTGTTTTCAAACCGTCGAAAGGGTGTTTTTTTACGTCCGCCGTCAACAGCAGCGACATTAGCGTTAGCATTTAAGCTAACGTTGTAAAACCCACGTAATTCTGATATTTAGTCGAATAAAAAGGGAGGTAAGTTGAGCTACAATGTTCCCTTTAATTGTTTTCTACGTGTTGTAAGTGTTTCCCTTTGTAATGGATTACATTAGCTTGATTTAGCTTGTAATTTCTACAAACGGTAGCCTCATAACAACGTCAATCAGTGTCTTAATTGTTTTTGCACAATTTAATAATACACACACATAACAAATGATAAACAGTGATGGATGAGGCAAAACAAAAAACATTTGTCTTATTTAAAGCCTCTAACTAAATAATGTTAAATAATCAACATTTTATATAAAAAAACAAGATCTAATTACCAACAATTGTTTGCATTCAATATTAATGGCAAACCTGAAATGCTGTAGCTAACATATACTGATTTTACAGAACAGTGAATTGGGGTTAATTAACTTCTCTTTGGTGATTTTTTTAATTGGATAATTAATCTGTTTTGGGTTGTTTATTCCACAGGGAGGCGTTGATGAGCAGCTATGTCTGGTATCGCGCTTAGCAGACTGTCACAGGAGCGAAAAGCCTGGAGAAAAGACCATCCGTTTGTAAGTAGCAGCAGCATGTTGAACCTTATTTAAAATCAACTCTTTGCATCGTCTCTAAGATCTCATATTCAGAGGTGGAAGGAGTACTAACTCAGATCTTGTACTTGAGTAAAAGTAGAAGTACCAGAGTGTAGGAATACTCTGTTACAAGTAAAAGTCCTGCATTCAAAAGGTTACTAAAGTAAAAGTACATAAGTATTAACATAGAAATATAGTTAAAGTACCAAAAGTAAAAGTAGTCATTATGCAAATTGGTCCATTTCAGAATAATATATATAATGATTGATCATTAAAGTGTTATCAAAGCTGGTAAAGGTGCAGCTAGTTTGAATGACTTTGTATACTGCAGGGTAGCTTGTGAATTTACTCCAGGTGGAACTAAAGTCTGATTTAACACTTGATTATATTTCACATTATAATCTACAACGTAACTACGGTTATTGAATAAATTAAATGGAGTAAAAGTACACTTTTCACCTCTGAATTGTAGTAGAGTAGAAGTACAAAGTGACATAAAATAGAAATACTCAAGTAAAGTACAAGTTCCTCAAATGTATACTTAAGTACAGTACTTGAGTAAATGCATTGGTTACTTTACACTTCATATTCCATAATGTCCATGATTGCTACTGGCACAAAGTAGACTACACTCCCTAGTGATGTGTTGTCTCTGTTTTAAACTACACAGGGTTTCGTTGCGGTGCCCACGAAGAACCCTGATGGAACCATGAACCTGATGAACTGGGAGTGTGCCATTCCAGGGAAGAAAGGAGTAAGTAGACCAGCATTAGAATCTTCCACATGCATTAACATTCGAGTATACTTTAGCAATCTGTGTAGTTTGTCTGCCACTTGCTTAACTTCAGTTTAAATCATTGTAATGGCAGCATTTTACAAGATTGTCCTTTTATTATGGTACATGCATCTTAATCAACGTGTATTACAGCTCATTCAATAATATCTGTGTCATGCATATTAGGAATGACCTGATAATGTTACATGTAAAATACATTTAAAGTCCAGAACAACATCAAAAATATGACTGGCCAACATAAGCAATCACCTTTTATACATAATGCTAATTTTGTCTTTTAAACTTCACTCTAGAACAGGGGTCGGCAACCCCTGGCACGCGTGCCACCGTAACCAGTGGCACACTAGGAATAAGTGGAATAAGTGTGGAAAATATTTAAATTTTATTTTCGGATCCTGAACGAGACCGCCGCCAGAGCGCGTCTCCCCGTTACAGAAGGAAGCCATGCACGCAACTCAGCCCCGCTCTCTTTAACTGCAGGCGACTTGCTGCTGCTTTCCTCCGTGGTGAAACGATGAGGGGTGAAGTGCTGCCGGAGCGCGCCCGCACTTCACCAATTGCAGTAGGCTACCCATAAGGAGCTGTACATGCCGCAGTGTTTGCGTGGCTGTGTCTTTAGTTGAAAGCCCAGTGGCGATCTGCTCGTCTCTCATCGAAAATGATATGCTACACAGGGGCGGACTGGCCATCTGTGTGTTCTGGGGAATCACAGAACGGACGGTCGTCATTATTATTATGCCGTTTAAACCAATTATTTAAATTTGTTTAAACGGCATCTTAACAGGTGAAATTGGTCCACACACTGCTTCGTCGTCGTCGTCCCCCCCCCCCCCCCCGTCGGTTGCCGACCCCTGCTCCAGAAGTTTTGGAAATTACACTTTCAATAGTTTCTTTGTTTTTTCAGCTGAGTGTGCAGGATGTTAGCTACAGTTGTTATACAAAGACACAAGGTGGATTTGACTGAAATAGGCCATTGTTCCTCGGGTCATTCGTGTGTCTTGAGTTGAATTCTTTGCAGTTGTTTCTATTTCGTTGTATGTTTACTAAAGCAGTTATTATTTTGTTTGTTTTCTTCATTAGACTTTGTGGGAGGGAGGACTCTATAAACTCAGAATGCTGTTCAAAGACGACTACCCTTCCTCTCCGCCCAAATGTGAGTATAAGTTCACACCTGCTACATAGTTTCTGAAAGTCGGTACCTTGCCATCTTGTTTGAATATGAACCTTGAGCAAAAGATGGCAGTTTTTCAACACTTGCATTATATAATTGTATTCAGAATGTCTATTTAGACACTGCTTTCAATTTCAAAAGCATATTGTTGTATAGTGTATGCTAAGAAGTTAGTTAATAAAAGCTTTATTGAGCTATGTTTCTAGTAGGATATGCATATGTCCCTATCAAAGTGTAGGATATTCTGATCAGATGTTGAACAAAGATATTATTCGATCAGAGCAGCAAAATTGCAATGTTTTGTCACGAATAAAGTACATAACAGATTGTCTTGTGTTTTAGAGATGAATTAAATCACAAAGTGGCAGTTTTTTACAACGACTATGTTGTACTGTGTATGAAATCTTCAGTTTGTCAGTCTTGCTTCAAGATTTAAAATTCTCACTTTCTTTTCACTGACTTCCTCTCAGGCAAGTTTGAGCCCCCAATATTCCACCCGAATGTCTACCCCTCCGGCACCGTGTGTCTGTCCATCCTGGAGGAGGACAAAGACTGGAGGCCCGCCATCACCATCAAACAGGTCTGAACACTCTCTCTCTCTTTAACTGGTATAAACAGTTGGTTTGTTCACGTTTTACCCTGTGAACCTTTAGGCTGTGCAGTGTGTGATTGTCTCCTTTTGCCTCCTGGGTAAGGTCTTCTAATTGTAGGGTTCACTGTCTGAACAAAGCGTTTGTGTGTACTGTCAAGTTGGAGTAACTGCTGTGAAGAAATGAATGCACAGGTTGTGTAGTTTCCATTTCACCAGCTCACTATCACACGCTGACCGGAGGATTGTTGACTTTGTTTTCAGATCCTGTTGGGGATCCAGGAGCTGCTGAATGAGCCCAACATCCAAGACCCAGCACAAGCAGAGGCATACACAATTTACTGGTGAGTGGGACTCTTTTGAGGACGTCTTACACACAGTAGCCTATCATTTAAGCCGGAATCAAACATTTTAGATGTGTGCTCTTGCTGAGTACAACACATTGTATTTATGTTTTACTAAGCAAGGGGGAATAGGGATGCAGACACTTTAAGTCAAGTCTATCTTCAAGTTATTTTACACTTAACTTGAGCATATTAAAGACTTAAAAAACAAGATATAGACACATCCAAAAAGAATCCCTCTTAATCATCACTCATGACCCACTAGAGGTGTGTGGTGGTGTCTGTACTTCAACTTCTATGAACATGTAGCGTCCAGGTGCCACATCCAGCCAGCTTGCATCCAAGATGTAGCTGAAACAAATAAGAGAAAATATAAAAGAACAAGGATCAGAATCAGAAACAGGTTTATCACCAGGTAGGTTGACACGTACGAGGAATTTGACTTGATGTCGTGGTGCGTACATAAAAGTAAAACAACAATTAAAAAATAACATTAAATAACATTAAAAAATATAGTAAAATATAGCAGTATTTACATAGAAATAGAATGGAATAAAAAATTAAAAAAACAGCTGATATTGTGTGCATTAATGTCTTTTGTGTGGCGAAACATCGAGTGATTAAAACTCCTTCCCAGTTTGCTTTCACGCGCAGACGAGCACTATGTTGATATATGGATATAATGCCATGCCCTTACTCTGATATGTTGTCGTGTAACCTCCTGAATAAATTAGCAGCGTACATTAGAAATTAAGTATGTTTTATCTCTTTGTGTTTCAGTCAGAACAGGATGGACTACGAGAAGAGGGTAAGGGCACAGGCCAAGAAGTTTGCCCCCACATAGAGAGGAGCGCCGGCCGCCCACAGCCTGAACTGAAGGAGGTGACACACCTGACGGACCACTCCAATAAGAATTCAGTTTTGAGTATTCTCTTATTATTAAACGGGTGACAAGAGCCTGTTAGTTCTCCTCTTTTTGTTCTCTTTTTAAAGCTCAACACGTTCATCATTTGACCTTCTACAATAAATGTGTAAGCATTTTGAAGGCATCGCTGATGGTCCTCTGCTGTCAACACATGACGTTTGTTATTTGTAACTCTTGTATAATCTCCAGTTTTATCATGAGTGCTGTAAAGCCTGCTCATGCCTCCATTCATTCTGTAAAGTCATAATATCGTATCGACAGAGCTGTAGAAATGTCCAAGCCACTCTGTGTGTAGTTCTCTCGCTTGTGGCGGACGTGGAGATTATGTTTATTGTTAAACTTCCAGTTTTTTTCTTTTCTTGTAATATCAAACCCCCAGGTATTGTAGATAGTGTTTCATGATTACGGGCGGGAACTGGGACAAAGCATTCAGACGAACAATGGAAGTGAATCCTCCCATTGTTCTCCTGATCCCTTGTCTCGTTCCTATCACATATCCATCACCTGAGTTTCCGGAAAAGCATAAAAAGAATACGAAGTCAGGTAAAAGACAATCCTGGCACTTGGTTGTAAGCTAAAACCGTGACGATTATTTTGGCAGGAAGTGGCGCTCTGTCCACCTCAGAGAAGGGAAGCATTACAGGAGGATGCAACTAAGATTGTTGTGAATCCAACTGGAAGTCAGTGTTGCTCATTCAACACCAGTTTCTCATCTGCTTCCCAAACACTTCCCGGGCGCTGTAGATTAGCTGCCCACTGCTCTTAGTACTTGACTCCTGGTACTAGGATGGGTTAAATGCAGAGAACACATTTCACTGTGTGTGCTCTGCATGTGTGACCATTAAAGAGGGTTTCATCCCTCCCAATATTATTATAAACTGCTTTAGTATCAGATAGAGAGGAAGCTGCATTGTAAAAGTAACAAAAACGGTCACTGTGTTCATTTTGGCGCTCCATCAGTTACAAATAGCGTCACTTTTGGTTATGTTCTCCCACAAAATCAACTACAACCCTGTAGTGGATCAGGCGTCAGAAGCTGAAGGATCCTCATTGGAATGGCCTCTCAACCAGCAAAGGACGACAGGAAGTGAAAGTGCACTTGAGAGAGTAAGCGAAAAAGCCTGAGAATTGTTTTGCCTCTAAATATATGAGTGCATGTATATAATATAAATACTGAAAAAAATTGTGGAAGTTATGTTTTATATTGTTTTAGCCAGTTGACATTTGTGTGTGGTATTATGACAAAGAACACAATAAATGGCATACAATTGTGAAATAAAGTTGAATAAAAGAAATAATTATGTGTTTTTGAATTTCTTCTCAACACACCTCCAGTTTTATGGTTAACTGCTTTGTTTGAATTACACGGTAACATGTCACAGAGGCACACAAATGAACCAGAACATAAGTAGATGGGGGGGGGGGGGCCCCTTTAAAATATCAGCATGCTCTTCAAATACAGGGTGTCTGCGGGGTCTTAAAAAGTATTCAATCAATTTAGCGAAAATTAAGGCTGTTAAAAAGTATTAAACGGCATTTTCCAAGGTATTACATTTTGTAGCTTGTTTTCAATAAGTATATACATTGTCCAAAGAGGTTGTATTCTAAAGTGTTCCTGAATGTAATCATTGCGTAGGTGTGTAGTGTGATTCTGTGTAGTTTATTTATGGCATCCCGTTGGATTTGACGTCATCTGAACAGGACATCGCACGCTCACTGCTTGATAGCGCGCGAAGGCCCGTTTACGCCGGTTGTTAAACAACATCGTTATGGGGAAATGCAAGTCTGCGTCCAAATGGTTGGAAGATAAGGAGGAAGGACAATCAATACTGTATATAGTCAATGTGAGGTAAAGTGTGTCGCCAATGTAACTGGTTAAAACTCGAAGAGGTCTTAAAATGTATGGAAATGGTCTTAAAAAGCTCTTAAAAGGTCTTACATTTGACTTCAGGATTCCTGCATATACCCTGAAATATCTCTAATGAACAATGTGTTTGCAAATCCTTTGGTAGGGTTTATAAAAGGGCCTTTTTTTTCATTTGGTGAAAGTCTTTTGAAAAAGAGACTTTCACCAAATAAAGATTATTCTTTATTTAAGCCTGCATTGCTTTAAAAACATTATTTTTCAAAAACGTTTCCTTGATTTTTACTAATTGTTATCAAAGCAACAGGTGAATAGCAAACAGCTTTTTGCCAAATAAATGTGTTTTTAAATGTCAGTTTTTTTTCTATTAGTATTTGTGGTATTGTCCAGAGGTGAAACCTGATGTAATGTTCTCAGGTGTCTTGCATGACATTCTTAAGAAATGTAACACCTTTTGTTTTTCCCTCGTCTCCCGTGCGGTTTATCGTCTCAGCATGACCTCAAATGTCCAAAAAGACGCAAAACCAGCAGAGACACAGGTGAGAACATAGTGTTTTTTTGTCTTTCGTTGGGGGTTGTTGTGCTTCTGTGTGTGTTGTTGTGAGTTATGATTTCCTCTGAACATGCTGTGTTTTAGGGGGGGGGTGGCAGAAAGCCCTCAGGTGCTGTCCCTGTCGCTGCCTCACTACGCTGATCCTGGATCAGTTATTTCGTGCAGCTATCACAGTTTGAGCCACTGTCTTCGCACAAACATATTCCCAGGTGTGTAAATCCCTGGACATTCTTTCGTAGTATGTTTTAATCCTATAAAAGCCTCCTTCAATATACAAAAAACTATTGGTGAGGGTGGGAGCACAATATGTCTGTTATTCAAAACTGTTGTCAATAATTTGTAAGGCTATCATGACATTTTACAGTCAGAAAATAGCACAATCTTTGTTATTAAACTGGATTATTCAGCTGTGAATGATGCCATATAAACTGTATGACATGTTTACTTACTCTCACTCACTTTGGTGAACCTTTAGGCTGTGCAGTATGTGATTACAAAGGTACAAAGACAGACTTTTACAAATAATAATTACCAATCTTTCTGGCTTCGTGTTCCAAGAGTTAGGTCTCAAATGTTCTTGGTAAAACTTGACTACTGGAATATAATACACCCCCTTCTTAAAATCTATGACAATATACTGAATATCCATAGATTTTAGAAATCTGATACTTAAACCAGTGTTTTCCATAACCTTTTTTTACAATTATTTTATAGCGGTAGTGCCTCTTTTTCTTTTAGTATATCCTTTTGCTGTTTTAGTTTTTTTTCCTTTTAACTAACTTCAGCAATCACATATTTCACCATTTGAGATTAGTACAAACACTATCATCAGAACCTTCAATGTCAACATACTTTGATGTGCAACCTTTAACACATTAACCTTCCTGTCAGCATCAGCACACTTTGTGTTTGGTTCTAATTAGCATGCAAACATGTCAAACGCCTGCTAAACATTAACCTACCAAACATCAGCATATTAGCTTATTGAACACGTTCGTTTTCTGACGTTAGCATTTAGCTACAATTATTTATGCCTAAGAGCAGAATCACAGATACACCTGCATGGCTGTTAGTTCTAAGGTCATTCTATTTCATTTTTCACACCTTTTCTTCACAATTTAAAACACTGAACTCTCTAATTCAGGTGCTAATTAACATGGAAATCCCTCTCCAAGGACTCTTACGTTAGCCACCCTCGGACAGCTCGGCCTACGGACCCTCATCTCTGGTACGGCCACAAAACCGACGACCTGGGTAGGTTTCCTCTTCCCTTTCTTTCTTTATTTATCTTGAATTGGTTGTGTATGTTTGTTCTGAAGAATATATGCGTGTCTGTGGCTTGTCTGCAGTCCAGTGGACAGAAAGAAACATCATGAACCAGAAACTCGACAAGATGCTGACGGAAATGAGAAAAAAGGCCCCCGCAAAATGAGGTCCTGCTTCCTACCCTGAGACCACAACACACACTGCGCCCTTGTGATTCACACTTTGGGTTTTCTTTCGAAACGCTAAAATAAAGTGTGAATTGAAACCATGCATGTTGTTATCTCGTTGCTTAACAATAAACAAAAAGAGACAGGTTATATCAGAGATAAAACACCACAAAAAAGATAATTGGTTCATCATTAGGTTACATGTCACTTGTTAGACGCTTTTATCCAAAGCAACTTACATACTCAATACTGTGAACAATCCCCACAGGAGCAATTTGGGGTGAAGTGTCTTGCCCAGGGACACAACGACATGCTGACTGCAGTGGGGTTTGAACCTGTGCTCCCCTGATCCGATTACCAACGCCCTATCCACTGCGCCACACGCCTCCTATCAACAAAAGACATAGCAGCAGTCCTTTTGTTTAGGCTACACCGAACTGTAATTATTTGGGTGTTAATGTGCTAGCAACAATTTTGTTTGTGCATTTATTGAGGAAAATATAGCTTTTTTTGTCTTTCTACTTCAAAATACGATATTGCTGAGTACTTTCTTAAAACAAAAGGCATATAAAACACACAAAAGTCCTTACTCCAACTTAAACGACTTAAACCGCTTATGCTAGCAGCAGCTGAATGGGTTTCTTGTCTCTCCGTGTGTAAGGCAGCAGAATAGAGGTGGTTTCAACAAAAACCACTGAAACTTGCTTTTTTGTCACAACCTGCTGCCTCGCCTACTGAGTCTGACCTACAACATACAGTTTATATCTTACGTTATCTGCAGAAGTCATCACTACACATGGAGAGGAGGTTTAGGAGACTGTTTGAAGTTTATCAGTAGTGATCTACATATTTCTGTTTGGTTAAACCAGTGCAACTCGCAAAGCTGATTTTAGGTGTAGTCAAGTGACATTAATAATGGTATTGAAATATAGCCACATTTTCCTCAATATTTAGACATTTAATAGGCCTACATGTCATATTCTTAATGTCCCTGTTAAACTATGCTATTCATGCACTGCTGTAGGACACTAAAACCATTTTAACTCTTACTCAGCATCCAATAAAAGTGTTAGCTTAACAGGATTTAGTTCTACAGGTTAGCTTGTTTAAGCTAACCTGTGGAATTAAAACACAAGCTATAACAATTTTTCAAAACTATAATGACATCAGCATCAACTATACGTTTTTGGCTTATAACCAAATGTTAGCATGCTTACACGCTCAACTTTAAAGTGAACATGGTAATCACTACACCTGCTAAAAAAAGTGGCATGTTAACTTTGTCATTGTGAGCATGTTAGCATGCTGACATTAGCCACAAGCTAAAAGCAATGTGGATCCAGTAAAGCCTTACAGGATATTGAGCTTGGTCAACTCTGGCCTTTACTTACAGGAATTGAACATACTTTGAGAAATTGTTAGCTAAGTAGGCCTATGGTTTAGTTCCACAATTTAGCTTTTTGAGCTCACTGGTGGAACTAAATCATACTAACCTAACAATATTACAAAACTGTATAGACATTCCCATCAGCCTCAAATAGGCTACCTGTATTTTTTGCTAATAACCAACCTGGAGCTTGCTAACAGCTAAACTTTCAACATGGTAAACATTACACCTGCTTGCTTCCTGCTTTCTTACAGTGCAGACGCTTTTCTGCTTGCTCTTGCCTCTGCTTACTTTTTTCATGCTGATTTTCCTATTTTTCTTTTCTGAAAACTTCGAGCAGCGGCTCCTGGACATTAAAGGTCCCATGTCATGGCTATTTCTACTGATCATAATTCCATTGTTGAGGTATACTAAAATAGATTTATATTGTGCAATCTTCCAAACTCACATTGGTTTCTCATACAGCATCTCTGTATAGTATGTGTATTCACTCTCTGTCCTAAACGGCTTGTTGGAGCTCCTGCCCCCCCCCCCCCCTCCCTGTGAGCCCAGTGGCCGTCTGCGAGACAGCGAGACAGCGAGACACAGCCCGAAACACACAGTGTGTGCTTAGGCTGAGTTCCGCGGTGTCTCACTGTCTCGCCGACCCCACACCAAGTGAGCCAGCTCACACTGTCCCGCTCCTCGCAGCAGCGAGCCTCGCAACAGCGAGCCTCGCAACGTCCCGCCGAGTGTGTGAGGAAGTCCGCGTAACGGCTCCGCGGACGTAGCGTAACGGCTCTGCGGATTGGTCCATTTGGACCAATCTGCGGAGCCATTACGTTACGTTACGTCACTATACCCGAAATACGTCACAATACCCAAGAAGTAAACAATGGAAAAAGAGAAATCTCCAACGAGGCGTTCTGGGGCAGCATAGACAGGTCTTTTCTGTGTTACAGGGTGTACTTTGAGGGTTAGTAACTCTGCAGACCGTTTACATGCATAAAAAGCTACATAACACACAAGGGGACGGGTAATAACCGGAAAAGCATGACATGGGCCCTTTAAATAACTGTTTTGATGTGTTCCAGTCAGGATTTCGTCCAAACCACAGCACTGAGACTGCTCTTGTAAAGGTCTTCAATGACATCCACTTAAACACAGACAGTGGCAGAACTTCAGTGTTAGTATTATTAGATCTCAGTGCTGCGTTTGACACTGTTGACCACAACATATTACTAGACCGACTGGAAAACCGGGTGGGACTTTCATCAACAGTTCTAAATTGGTTTGAATCCTACTTAAAGGACAGAAACAACTTTGTTTCTATAGGTAAATACACATCTGAGTTACATCTACATGCTACCACTGCCTCAGATAATGAAAAACTACAAAATAAGTTACCATAGCTATGCGGATGACACCCACATTTACATAACCATTTCACCAGGAGACTATGCTCCAATTCAAACACTGAGTAAGTGCATTGAACAAATCATTGACTGGATGTGTCAGAACTTTCTCCAATTAAACAAAGATAAAACTGAGGTAATGGTTTTTGGAGCCAAGGCCGAACGTATTAAAGTTAGCGCTGAGCTTCAGTCTGCAATGTTCAAAACAACAGATAAAGCCAGAAATCTAGGTGTAGTCATGGACTCTGACCTGAGTTTCAACAGTCACATTAAAACAGTTACTAAATCAGCATACTATCACCTAAAGAATATATCCAGGATTAAAAGACTAATGTCACAGCAGGATTTGGAAAAACTTGTCCATGCTTTTATCTTCAGCAGACTTGACTACTGTAATGGTGTCTTCACAGGCCTCACTAAAAGAACGCTGCTGCTCGAGTCCTCACTAACACTAAGAAAGTGGATCACATCACTCCTGTTCTGAAGTCTTTACACTGGCTTCCTGTGTGTCAAAGAATTGATTTAAAAAATACTGCTGCTGGTTTATAAAGCATTGAATGGTTTAGGCCCAAAATACATTCCTTTCCTACTGCTAAATTATGAACCATCCAGAACTCTCAGGTCTTCAGGGACTGGTCAGCTTTCTGTCCCCAGAGTCAGAACTAAACATGGAGAAGCAGCGTTCAGTTATTATGCTCCAAATATCTGGAACAAACTCCCAGAAACCTGCAGGTCCGCTGCAACTCTTACTACTTTTAAATCCAGGCTGAAGACTTTTCTTTTTGCCGCTGCTTTTAATTGATATATTCATTTCTTAAACTGCACTGTAACTTTGATTATCTTTGCTTTTAAATGAGTGTTTCTAGATATCATTTTATAATATGTTTCTTAATGCTCTTAATGTCTTTCATTTTTGTAAAGCACTTTGAATTGCCTTGTGTTGAAAGGTGCTATATAAATAAACTTGCCTTGCCTTGCCTTGCCTTGCCTTGCCTTGCAGTATGTTAGCTTTGCCATTGTGAGCATGTTAGCATGCTGACATTAGCCCTAAACTAAACGCAATGTGAAACCACCAGTAAAACCTCACAGGATATTGAACTTAGTCAGCTCTGGCCTTTACTTACAGGAATTGAACATACTTTAGATGTGCCTTCTCCACTATATGAGTCTTAAATAGAAAAAGCAGATTTCATCTTTTTAATTTAGCAATATTTATCTAAAACGCCTCCCTAAAATGATTAGACTGATGTTTTAAAACATTTTATTATGAGTGTGCCCTCCCTTGTTTCTGTTCTCACCTTCTAACCCAACCCTCCCCCTGTCATTGTGGTCTGTGGATTGAGACTGTTTTCTTGCTGCTATCCGAGCACAAACATCTCTTTGGCCTTTTCAGCAGCAAACACAGCGGACTTTGACCTTCAGGCAAGAGATGCAAGCCCTTCTTCTTCTTGCACCTTGTCTGCACACTACCCTTCCCTCGTCTCTCCTGTTACCGCTGCAAGCTGATGCTGACACCTAAGTATGTGCAGGAACTATGGGGGAGGCATCTGATCACCCTCTGGCCCACTGTAGGCCTGAAACCCACTCACAACCAGGCGTGTGTTGACTGCTGGGTTCAAACATATTGTGTTGCAACAGTTTGTGTTAAAGGTGTGTATGCGTTGTGGTTTGTAGGCACTATAAGTACAGCTCAGATGAGTGTTGCACAATGGCCTTTCATTGAACTTTAAGACTGAGATTAACACTTGTAGATACTAAAACATTGATCTTATATTCTGTGCTACACACTGCACTCCCATATTGGCATTTGACTAACAAACACTGGGTGAAAATATACTCTTAAAACTGTTTATCTTTTTCGCCATCCTGTTTCCTTCTCTCTCTGTTGGCAAAATTACTTTTTTCTATATTATAGTTTGATTGACATTCATTTGCATGAATATTTGTTGAAAATGCCTAAGCAGCATGCATTAGTATATATAATGTTGAACCATGTAGGCCATGGTAGGATAAAAAACTAGCTGAACTTGACTTTTACGCCTATTTTCAGGTTCATATTTGTATTTTGTGTGTCTCCTGTGACATGTCTGCATGCTTTAATGTTCAAAAAGCTCTTTATTTTTCTCATACTGCCTGTGCTGCAACACCTCTTTTCACCCTCTGTCTGAAACCAGAGCCCAGTCTGCTCTGATTGGTTAGCTGGCCGGCTCTGTTGTGATTGGTCAACTGATTAGAGACGTCCCGCCCCTTAGCCTATCACTTACAATGTGTTTGAGCGCTAGCCAATAGAAGCTCAAGTGTTACTTATGGCGCATTTCCATTGCAGCGCGTAGCTCGCTTTAAGCGTGCCGTGTCGTGCCGTCCCCTTTTTTGGTTGTGCTTCCACTAGGCCTCGTTCCGGCGCGGCACGGCGCGGGGCCACTTTTTCCCCTCTTTTCTGGCCCTAGAAAATTGTGGTTCTATCGGGGCCAACAAACAGGGCTGAGTCGGGCTGAGTATGCTAAACTAGAGAGAGGAGCGCTGGCAAGAGGGCTAGAACTACAACAAGATGGACATATTTGACCGTGATTTAATTGTAATACACGTTTCAAAATGATGCCGAAGTAACAACATACTGATACCGGTTAGTAAAAACCATGAATTAATGCTTTGTCAAGTCTGCAGACAGACGGCAGGCGAAAAACCTTTTAAAATTCGTGTTTTTCTAGATGGAGATTGGCTAAGCTAACGCAGTATATGCCCCGACCATCCACACTCACAACAACGGCCTATACAGACATAAATAAAGCAGTGACTGTATTCACCATGACACAGACAGTCTGTGGTTTGTACTTGTTTAACTTTTGTCGAGTTTCTGAACATATATAAGGAGCTGTGAGCTCTGAGTGCTAACAGCTAACGGCTGTGTTGTGTTTCTGGAGTTCTCATTGAAGATGACGTCACGGCTCCGCCTACACTGCGTTACTATAGTAACTACCCCAGTTCCTAAACTGTAATGGAAGCGCAGCATGAAGTGAGTCGGCCCTGTTAAGGCCCAACGCGGCCAAGCCGTACCGAGCCGTACCGAGTGTGGCCGAGGCCGACCGTGTAGTGGAAATGCGCCATTAGTGATGTCACTGTGTTGTTGAAGTAAACAAAGGATTCCAATAAAGGCATTTCAGGCAGGAGGCATTAAAACAAGCATAACACTCTGCATTTATCGACTTATTCCCAACATTTTGATGGAATATTAAAGGTGGGGTAGGTCATTTTGGAGAAACCAGCTTGAGTGCGCTAGAATTTGAAAATACACAGCCGGAAAAAATCTGCCACTTCCTTACAGAGCCCCTCCTCCAACTCACACGAACGCACACATGACCAATGAGGGCACGAGATAAGTTTGTGCACAGATGGAAGGCTGACAGGCAGGTAGGCCATCCAGTTATTTTAGCCGGGCTGGCTAAAATGATTGGTCGTGCTTTTTACAGCGCTACGGCTTCCACAGATGACATCTTTTTATGGATTTTTTGTCAAAGCACTTAAGATATTCATTGCTATCGGGATGTTAAGAGCATTCCATGGAATATAACAAAAAGTGTATCTCGAGCCGGTTTCTCAAACTTACCTACCCCACCTTTAAGTCTTACATTCCCCAAATTCCATACTAGTAGCTACATTATAATTTGGAAACATTTAAAAAATAAACAAGTGCAAACTAAAATTGTGTTTTAGCAAAATAGTGTAGAGCAAAATACTAGGACCTACACAATATTAATCAGAGGAAGAAACAGAAATTAAATGTTTGGTGACCTTTGAGTAAACATCTGCTGCTTTAACTCTAACCTCCTTTGTTTCTCTCTATAGATCTGTAGTATAAATACATGTGTCTGCAGTGGTTGCGGCTATAAGAGCAGCGGTTTTCCTGCTGTGCAACTTTTGTGTGTGTGTTTGGTATCTTAATTAACCCCATATGACTCTCAATCTGGTAGCTGTTAGTTCTCTGAATCTTCACTTTAAGTTTCATTTACATAAACCACTTCATTGTACAAAGTGCCCGTTTCCCCCTTCATACAACTCACTTATCGTTGGGATTGAAACAGGATGTGGTGTGTTTTATTATGTTCAGTGCAATTATTATTTTAACGGCGTCCAGGTAGCTGCAGGAGGAGGAGGAGGAGCTTTGTTTATAAAAAAGTCCCCCTCCCTCCCCTGTCCTCCCCCTTCCTCCCCCACCCGTCCTCTCACACCATCACAGCTTCATGAGGCTTCCTGTAAGGCACCGGCTGTGGTAACAAGTGGAAAGTGTCACTGGGCACTTTAAAGAAGAGAGAGGGGCCTGAATGAGGAGGCAGAGGGATGAGCGACAGAAAGAGATAGAGAAAGAGGGAGGGAGAGATTGCTCAAGAGAGTGAGATAGTGATGTGCGAGTAGAAAGACAGAAGAGAAAGGAAATCTTCTAAACTCTTCGGTCCAGCAGAGAGACAACGATGTGATTCCTCTCGGGGACCCCCTGCTACCGAACTGACCGAGGTACTGTATCACTTTTCAGACAATAATTCAAGAGTCTTTATAGATTTTTCTACTATTTTGATGTTTTGCACTGGTCTCTTGTTCAATTGCATTTAGATTATATTTAGTTTTTATACATGCATTTATGATACGATACAATATACTTTATTGTAGGAAATGTGTTCTGGTATCTGTCCTGCAGTTACACAAAAGATTAAAAAAAAATCTTACATGATACTTAAAACACGATAGAAGATATTAACATATTAACACGTGACTTTTGTACATACTCAGTTTCTACATACAGACCTACTGACAATGGCGACCTATTGCACAACCCCCATGACCAACATTCAAACTCTAAATTACATATACGTTACTTTTTAAATGACATCATCAATGTTCCTGAGCTTCTGTTATTACTCAGAACAGAAGTGTTTCCCTTGTACATGATGTTACAAAAACATCTGCACTTTCCATGAACTCATTTACTGTAACTTTAGGTTTGGGCTTTGACGCTAAAACGAACAATGACTCAGACTTGTGAGAAATGTTTAGGTGTTAAAAACACACATTTTCCATTTGTTTGACGTTTGTATCTTCCTCGTTTATTGCACTTACTGTAAGTCGCTTTAAATAAAAGCTTTAGCCGACTGTAATGTAATAAATTAAGCATGATAATTAATAGGGGTGTAACGGTTCACAAACATTTCGGTTCGGTACGTACCTCGGTTTTTAGGTCATGGTTCGGTACGTTTTCGGTACAGCAGAAAAGATGATCACAACACATAAAATATATATATATATTTTTTTATTATTATTAAACTGTGAATAATGTATTCACTCAAATAAATACAAAATATAATCAAATAAACATTAAGGTGCAGCATTTCGATGAACTGAAATAATCTGTATTTGAACTGTACTGTACTAGTACCTAAGCAGCCAGCTTGACATTAGGACTTGCTTGCTTGTCATTGTATTTTCATGTTTTTTTTAAGAAAAATGAACTTGTCCACATTGCTTGCCGAAAGGGCAGATCTGCTGGCACTAACAATGTCTCCTGATGTGGAGGACACCCTCTCGCTAGGGACAGAGGTAGCAGACACAGCCAGGTAGCGCTTTGCTAACATGGCACTGGACTTTTTGCGAGTGATAGAGGCTTAAATGCTAGTGGGAGTTGGGTTTGCACTTCAGTCATTTTTCTTGAGGTACCGGTGATATTCACGTTCGGGTGATGCCTTTTCAAATGAGTGTGCAAGTTTGATATATTGCCAGCCGCGTAACCAATTTTAGTTGAACAATGCAGACAAACAGCTTTGGTTCGGTCCACCTGTCTTTGTCCGTCATCCTTGTACGTAACTGCGAAACCAAAATGTTTTGACTTGTTCGCTCTATGACGCGTTGAACCCAATGTGAGCAAATTACACTGAACGCTGCGACGCGGCATCTGAGATTACTTCCAAAAAGTTGGAGAGCTGGAGCTTTGATGTCAAACACTGGTGGTTTATTTGGAGCTTCGGCCGGAGAATTCACAAGACATGTCACAGGGCCACGGTCTGACCACACAGATGAGATGCCACAATCAATTCTGAAGAAACCGTCCTCTCGTAGAGGTTTTAACTAGTTTGGATGAGGGTAATCAACATTCTTCACTAGATAGACTAAACAGCTGGGGACACTTTCAGTTGACGCTTATGGCCTCGAAGATTTCACACCTTGGGTTCATCAAGCCCCGAGAAGGAGTTGTTCCATATGTCCTCATAACAATAAACTATCTTTGACGAGAGATGCCCGGTCATAAGCTGGCAACAACAACAAATGGCTAAAGCAGCCCCCTCCTTGAGGGAGATAACAGATGCCCGTCAGAGGGCAAAAGGTAAACATCTATGGAAATTATTCCCTGACAATCATCAGTATGGCCAATAAGACGCTGTTAATGCAGTTATTATACTCTCTGTAATAATGCAACCAGTAAGTTTCAGTTATAACTGTGAGTTGCCGCCTTCTCAGGATGAGTTTTATTCTCAGTGTGGATCTAGTATTGTTTTCTCACTTTCAAAACTGCTCATCACTCTGCCAATAACGACTGGCTGATGCGGTTCCAGAGATGAGTATCCCTCCATTCAAAAACGATGCATATAGAGGTGTTTCTAAACTGCTGAGTTACTACATGATCATACCCACCCCTTTATAATAATCTAGTTTAAACACACACACACAAACACACACACACACACACACACACACACACACACACACACACACACACACACACACACACACACACACACACACACACACACACACACACATACACACACACACACACACACACACACACACACACACACACACACACACACACACACACACACACACACACACACACACACACACACACACACATGTCAAAATGTTTCTGTGTATCACTATTGATTTAGGTTCTCAGTATATTGCATTGTTTCTCTCTGTTTACAGTCATATTGTGGTCATCACCATGACGATCCTGCTGTCCCTATTCTTACTGGTGGTTCTGTTTTCAGTGCATGCAGTCAACTTTCACAAAGGCTTAAGAGGTATAACCAAAGACGAACGTAACTGAAACATTTTCAATGTTAGTTAGTTTCTCCTGTAGTGTGTTATATAGGTCTTTTGTGCACGAAATGTTCTGCAAACGCTATAATCCCAAGGTTTCTTCCAGAAGGATTTCTCTCCCACACACTCCCCCCTCAAAGTCCAATAACACTGAAGTTATCTTTTTGTTGTTTCTCTGTGTTTCAAGGACTCTCTTGTGTAAATGACTTCGTCAACAATATCAGCTGCACATGGGAAAGCTCTGCAGCGACTCCCCATGCGGACTGCTGGATCTTTGGTGAGCAGTCAACATTTATCGGCCGAATACTGGGAGTTACGGAAAAAATGATGTAAGATGTTGAATATACACTACTCATTACTGCTTGCCAAAATTTCATGGATGAAAAATGTGTTTTCGTAGGGTATTTATTTTTAACAAGAGTGTTGATTTTTGTATTTTTTCTGATTTAGTGGACGCTGCAAGTTGAAACAACAGATTCACTTTACTCGAGGCTGCAATCTTGTCTTTAAAAATATAGTAAGTCTCTAAAATATAATTCATTTGAACATGTTAACATCTCATTTATGGTTAGCATTGATAACAATAATCAGCAGTCTTGCTCCTATACGCTCCTAAACTGTTTAACTGATCAAATGATGGGTCCTTCCAGAGATTTAGCACTATTAATACCATGCCCTACATCCGTGTGGAGTGTAACGGCACAATGATGGAGAACATCACAGACTACAAACCAGTGCAGCACAGTGAGTGGCTTTTACTTCCTCAGTGACCTTTTTAGGTGCTTCTTAAATGTTCTTTTGAAAATATTGTTAAGAATCGGACATAAAAATCATGATATGATGTTAAAAAGTAAATAACTAAATCCATATCTGTTTTCATATTTGTGGCTTTCAAACTGTAGTAACAATTGTTCATCAATTTTGTGTTCCTACAGTAAAAATGCATCCTCCAGGTGTTCCTAATGTCAACAGCACAGCCAATGAGACGAGTATATCGTGGCGTCCAGGCAGTCTTCCCTCTAAGTACTTAACAACCTTAAGCTTTCAAACTCAGATCAAACAGAAACACCAGACATGGAACGTGAGTGCCGACACTATACATGCATACATGGGCATTTTACACAAAAATAAAAACGAGAATAATAATAATATAGTATAATAATTAGGACATAAGTGTTAGATTAAAGGTTACATCTAAAATAGCAACATTGCCATCCATGCTAGCAGTATGGCTAAAAAGTGTGGGAGTTTGTTTTCTCTATTGATTTTTCATTGTATATTTTATGGTGACATATTGTGGCTTCATCCTACTCGCAAACTGGGGTGTTACTATCTTTTCAAAGCGATGCAAAGGTTGATGCACTGCTAACATTAGCTTTGTGTAAATTTAACATTATGTCGCTTCCCCTTCCACTAGAGTTTGGTCTTAATGTTGCAGGCCTATATTTATTTTTAGTTCAATGATCTGTACATCAAATAAGGCAGTGCTTGGTTTCACACTAAAGTAAATGCAGATGCTGCTTTGGCAAATCATTTCCGGTTGTTGATATACTTCCCTTCTTTTGATATTGGGCTGACGTTTTGATATGCTTTCAGGAGGCCATTATTCTGTCCACTCTTGAACGAGAGCTAAGGATTCCTGCTGGGAAACTAAAGGGTCACTGTGAGGTCAGGGTGAGAGTCAAACCCATTTTAAAACACAAGAATAGCCACTGGAGCAACTGGAGTCCAACAACATCCTGGACATCACAGAATCGAGGTAAAAAGACGTCCAGTTGTCTTTCTTTTTTTTAATCTAAAAGCTTACAGGCCTGTTGAGAAAGTCATCTATTTCGATTCAAGTCCTCACAAAGCACAGATCAAATAAGCTCTAAACTGTAGTTTGGCAAAATGGTGTTCCTGCGAGTCAATTGACTGAAGTCGATCAGCATAATGAAACTAATGATGAAATATTTTAAAGAACCCTTCATACTCACAACATCTTCCACTTGAGATGAACACGGGTCAGAAAAGGCAGGATTAATCAAGTTGTTATGGTGAGAAGTTATGAATAAAATAAAGTATTATCATGTCTGATGGATGTTTGTGTAGGCAAGGAGGACCAACATGCAGACGAGCAGATTAGGTGATGATACTTTAACCAGGCAAAAAGCAGATTAAAGGTCGAGAAGGCGGACAGGGACAGCAGGCAAATGTATTAGAGCATTTGTTTAATTTTTATTTAGGGTCATATAAAGGCCTCCCTAGGTCTAGTTTAGAAAACGTTAGACGTGTGGATTTAATTGTAAAGACTGTATTTTTACAGGGACTGTTGCAAAAACCAAGAAGCTCATACAAAGATTTAAAAGAGGTTTGCAAGTAAAGGAAACAGCAGTAAAGATTTATGGAATTTTATTATAATTACACTTATCCTGCAACTGGATGACTAACGGGAGGACTATTTTCTGTATAAGCTAGGATTTCTGCCCTCCCCCCTCTACTAGGATTTATAAATTGTCTGTACTAATATTGAAATTGTAGAATAGATAATAAAAAAATTAAAAATCCTGAGATGTCTAAGATATGCTGATTCAAAACTATACCTAATAGTAAGGACGGTTCCTCTCTCGGCTGGAGAGAGGGGAGTTTGTCCTAAAGCTGTATTTATGTCCTCCGCCTTAAAAAGAAGAGGCTCATTCAGCTGTGAGTGAGACTAGACTGAGTCCACTCCATTAGAGTAGGAGTATGTAGGGTTTAGTTTGGACATGAGCCGGTGAACGGTAACGGGTGAGCAGGAGGTCAGGCGACTGCAGGGCTAATGAGGGACAGGTCAACTTTATCGGGGCAGACTATCAAAAATGGCGGGAAAAACACACAAAGGCGAAGTGGAACTACTGGAATACAAATAAATCAGGAAAAAACAAACCCTAATAAACCACATAAAAACAAACAAAACGTATGAGTTGAGGAGAATACAAAATAATGTACTTGCATCTTTACACCTTGTAATGTCAGCTCTCTGTTTCAGAACGGCTTCTGAGTCTGACGCAACTGATAATATTGGGAGTGATTTTGGGCGTCATCCTGGGTCTCATCACTGTAACGGTGTTCGTTTACAGGAGTTGTGTGAGCAGGGGGTGAGTATAGTGTGTGTGTGTGTGTGTGTGTGCGTGTGTGTGTGTGTGTGTGTGTGTGTGTGTGTGTGACGTGTGTGTGTGTGTGTGTGTGTGTGTGTGTGTGCGCGCGTGCGTGCGTGTGCGCGTGTTTGTGTGTGTTTGAATCCAGTAAGTCTAATATGATTGCTCCCTTTTGCCGTTTTAGGCTCCTCAAAGGGAAGCCGTTACCAAACCCTTCAAAATACTTCCACACTCTCCACTCTGTCCACGGAGGAAATCTAAAGGTAAAAACTAGAAGGACATTAGAAAAGCACATTTCTCCTCAAAGGTAATGGTTTCAAAAAGTACATGTGTATCCAGACCTGTTATTGTGACTAAGACATCATTTGTTTTTCATTGGATCATGCTAAACCTTTCTCCTAATTGCACAAAAATCTGGCCAGTCTTTTCCCACAACTCTGCTGACAAACAGACAAAATAAAACCAACTCATCGGGTTTAGACACCAGAAAGATTTTTAGTTTTTTTTTGTCATCTCTCCCAATTGGTGTACCTCAGGGTTCAATCCTGGGACCACTTTTATTTTCACTTTATGTTCGCTATTGGCTTCCTTATACATATGGAAGGCCTAACAAATTATCCAGTGGTGTAAGAAGTATTGAGATTATTCAGTTAAGCGACATCACCCGATACAAATACTAAAATGTAACCACAATACAGCTATTGTACTCTAATTGGCATTTATACTGCCAAACAAGAAGGACCCCAATAACTCCATCTTGACCAAGGTTGAATTATAAAATATGTACAGCCTTTTCTATTAGGGCTCTTTTGCCGTTGCATTACCCCTTACTTAAATTCAGTTAGCAGATTTGGTTCAGGTTAAAAGGAAGTAAAGGCTATAACTGAATACTGACTGCCAGTAAAAAATACAGAGTTACAGAAACAGTCCGTCAAAGATTGGAACCTTTTTTTTTTACTTTTAACTGCAAAACCCACCTGGTGTGGTTTCAAACCAACACCATCAGACAAACTCACACTCACAGAGAACTTCTCGTAAAATTAGAGGGACATTAGATTCGATTATAGGTTAGATTCCTCAAAATTAGATTAAATTAGATTAGATTGACTTTGTTGTCCACCTCAATGGAAATGTGTCTTTGCCTTCTTCAAGAACAGCTGCGATTCTTCCAAAACAAATGGCACAACCCACCATTAAAACATAGCATTATGCAATATACAACAGGGCAAATATGAGCAATATATATATATATATGCCGTTAATAACTGTGCAATATATACCTGGCTGCTAAATCCTCAGAACTGTTACAGGATGTGTTTTTTGTAAATTGTGTAATTTTTTTTTAAAGTCTTTAATACTTTTGTATGCATGCTTCTCGGGTAACATTATGCTGTCTTTGGCTCTTTTCTGCTGTAACAATGTACATTTCCCCTCTGTGGGACTAATATTCTAGTATTCTGATTCTGAAATGCAATAAGGTATACTAGAAATTGTAAAAATAAACTTTCTTCAAGTGTATTTCCTACAATAAATCTCTCTTTATTCCAAGAAAGACAAGGTAAACTTAAAGGTGGGGTAGGTAAGTTTGAGAAACCGGCTCGAGATACACTTTTTGTTATATTCCATGGAATGCTCTTAACATCCCGATAGCAATGAATATCTTAAGTGCTTTGACAAAAAATCCATAAAAAAATTTCATCTGTGGAAGCCGTAATACTGTAAAAAGCACAACCAATCATTTTAGCCGGCCCGGCTAAGGCTAATAAAAATGACAAGGCTGTAATGCTAACTAACGTGCTAGCTACTAGCTAGCTTGATCCACACACTCCTCTTTCATCAGACTGGAAGCAAAAGAACGAGCAAGACCCATTGCTGGTATAATAACAACCTGGTACTAAGCACACTAGCATCTTGTGAAAGTTATCTTATCTTAGCCAGCGCCATATAGATAGATTCTATCTATATGGCGCTGATCGTATATATACGGTATTAGCCTATACGTATATCGTAGTGTCTCAATTGTGACATCACTTACGCGACTCTGGGATTTGTAGTCTTTCTAGTTACGTATTTTTCATAGTCTTATATTTCAACAGTTTTACGACAAACTGTGACTTTTTTGACATGGAAATGATTTTTTAAGATTGACAAACATCATATGTGTAATTCATGGCACAATTCAAACGGGATCGAAAGATAAGTTTTCTCTCCCCATTGACTTCAATGCATAATTTTTCCGAAATAAGGTCCCATTACCCGGAAGTAAGTGGGCGTGACTTCGCCACTCTATTGGTCATGTGCGCGTTCGTGTGTGTTGGAGGAGGGGCTCTGTAAGGAAGTGGCAGATTTTTTCCCGTTGTGTATTTTCAAATTCTAGCGCACTCGAGCTGGTTTCTCCAAAATTACCTACCCCACCTTTAACTAATGTGCATTTAAAAAATAAATAAATAATAGTTTCTACGAAAACTAAAAGGTAACGTTCGTTTAACACTTGAAATATCTAAAGGATAAGTTAACAAAGAAAGTAGAAAGAAAGTGAGGTCATACTATTTCTGCTAAAAAGTTAGCAATGATTGAGAGTCCGAGCTAAACATTTCAGATGTGTGTATCTCACACTGCACTGTCACTTTCATATTTTTTATTGTCTTTGCTTTTAAATGAGTGTTTTTAAATGCCATTTTATAATATGTTTCTTAATGCTCTTAATGTCTTTGATTTTTGTAAAGCACTTTGAATTGCCTTGTGTTGAAAGGTGCCATACTGTATAAATAAACTTGCCTTGCCTTTATTCGTCCCTAGAATTGGCTGAACCCTCTGTCAGTGTCTGAGGCCTTCTTCACGGCGCAGCCTCGTGACCCCATCTCCCCGTTAGAGATGTGTGAGAGCTGGGATGTCGCCCCCCCCCCCCTCCTCCACCAGCGCCCTGCTTCACTGCAGCACTCACCCCTCCACCATCTCAGACTCCAGCGGGGTCGTTGATAACTCCTCTTCCTCCTCTTCATCCTGCTTCTCCAACATGGGCTACTTCATCTCCAGCTCCTCCGGCAACAGCTCCGTTCGAACTGACCCCAACCCGGCATACTTCACCTATAGGGAGGATTTCCACAACCATCTTCACCTCAACCTCTGTTCTGCACCTGATACCTTTCCAAACTACGAGAGCTTAAAGAAACCGCCGCAGAGCCCAGACTCCGGATTCGGTTTTGGAAAGGAAGATGAAGAGTTTGTGGAAGACGAAGAGGTTTTTGATGATCATCCTCCTCTTCTTACTCTCCACCTTCCTTCGTGGATGTGCCCTCCCTTCGCTGCTACGACCCCTCCAAGTCCTACTCTGATTTCCCCCGAAAGTCAGCAGGAGGATGTTCCTGCAGCAGGAGATGGTGGCAGCTGGCCTTCAGCGGGATCCATGAGCAGGTCCTCCTCCATGCCTGTCGAGCCATACAGAACCGGGTACATGACCCTCAAAGAGCTGCAGACAACATTCAGCAATAAATCCATCTGAACACTTTTCAGAATCTGAATCAGAATTCCTTTATTTGTCCCGCAGCGGGGAAATGTACATTATTAAAACAGCAGAAGTGTAGTGTAGCTAAAGCAAAGAGAATAGACTTACATGTTTGAAAAAAAAAAAAAAAGTAGGCCCACGTCACAAGTATTAAAAAACACAATAAGTAAAAAACAAATGGCAGATAAGTAGACCATCGTAAGAAAACGAAGTAGCAGTATATGTATTTAAAAAAATGAAAGGTAGAGATTTAAATGTATCTGGAAGAATCTCTGTGTAATTGTTTGACTGATGTTTGTTCTAATCTGATGTGAAAGCGAGCATATATTGTGCATTCTTACAATTTACGTGATGGTTATGCTTTACCCCTCCGTAAATTAAAAAAATCTCAAGATAATGAGCAACGTTTTGATCTGTGCTCGTAAAGTCTGAATAAGCAACCCTTTAAAATGACACAGTTGTTAACATAAACAAATTGTACAAAGTTGAAATTAACTTCACACTTTTGCTTTAATTGTAAAAGACAACATTTCATTTACTTTGCTTATTGAACAATAGTTGTACAGGAGATTGGTATAAGATAAATACATATAGAGTGTATATTTGGTACCAGGGAAGACAGAGTTTTGAGAGACAGTCTGAAAATACCTGGTTAGATGAACAACTTATATTTAGAATATAATGTGTAGGGACGGAGCCAGAAATATAAGAGCAAGTACAAATTATGTAAACTGTTTATACAAATACTGTACTGACTGAAACTGCTGTGTAATTATATAGCTGATATATACAGTAATGCATGTATTATGGTGTAATGTTAAATGTGTAAAATACTGTGGGAACAGTATTTTCTTTTTATGCATTTCAATAAGCTTTATTTGCCTAAGTGTTAAAATATGTATCAAATAACAAAGCAAAGCAAAGTAGACTTCAAACTAAATGCTACTATCAGTTATGAATGTCTTAAAACAGAAGCTTTTTATTACTTTAACTTAAGTCTAAGAAAGACATGTGTTTTTAAGACCTCTTCACAGGGTTCGAGTTATAAACTGAGCTCTATGGGGGTCTTTAAAACTAACGCGTGCTTGCACACACACACACACACACACACACACACACACACACACACACACACACACACACACACACACACACACACACACACACACACACACACACACACACACACACACACACACACACACACACACACACACACACACACACACACACACACACACACAGCAGCAGCCCTCTACTTGCTACAAACTTAAATATGAAAAGGTTCAACTATGCACACACACATCATCTCGGCTCGCGCAGCACGCTCACAGGCATAGATTGCGCAATAATGTATTGCGCACCTTGGAGGTGCAGTGCAGGCATATTGTCATTCAAGAGATGCGTAGTTCTTTTGGAAAACATGTTTTTCTTTTATCCTATTTACCTCGTTAACGTAATAATATTCATTACATTGACACATGCGTTATTTGTGATTACACCTCAACCTCTGTTCTGCACCTGATACCTTTCCAAACTACGAGAGCTTAAAGAAACCGCCGCAGAGCCCAGACTCCGGATTCGGTTTTGGAAAGGAAGATGAAGAGTTTGTGGAAGACGAAGAGGTTTTTGATGATCATCCTCCTCTTCTTACTCTCCACCTTCCTTCGTGGATGTGCCCTCCCTTCGCTGCTACGACCCCTCCAAGTCCTACTCTGATTTCCCCCGAAAGTCAGCAGGAGGATGTTCCTGCAGCAGGAGATGGTGGCAGCTGGCCTTCAGCGGGATCCATGAGCAGGTCCTCCTCCATGCCTGTCGAGCCATACAGAACCGGGTACATGACCCTCAAAGAGCTGCAGACAACATTCAGCAATAAATCCATCTGAACACTTTTCAGAATCTGAATCAGAATTCCTTTATTTGTCCCGCAGCGGGGAAATGTACATTATTAAAACAGCAGAAGTGTAGTGTAGCTAAAGCAAAGAGAATAGACTTACATGTTTGAAAAAAAAAAAAAAAGTAGGCCCACGTCACAAGTATTAAAAAACACAATAAGTAAAAAACAAATGGCAGATAAGTAGACCATCGTAAGAAAACGAAGTAGCAGTATATGTATTTAAAAAAATGAAAGGTAGAGATTTAAATGTATCTGGAAGAATCTCTGTGTAATTGTTTGACTGATGTTTGTTCTAATCTGATGTGAAAGCGAGCATATATTGTGCATTCTTACAATTTACGTGATGGTTATGCTTTACCCCTCCGTAAATTAAAAAAATCTCAAGATAATGAGCAACGTTTTGATCTGTGCTCGTAAAGTCTGAATAAGCAACCCTTTAAAATGACACAGTTGTTAACATAAACAAATTGTACAAAGTTGAAATTAACTTCACACTTTTGCTTTAATTGTAAAAGACAACATTTCATTTACTTTGCTTATTGAACAATAGTTGTACAGGAGATTGGTATAAGATAAATACATATAGAGTGTATATTTGGTACCAGGGAAGACAGAGTTTTGAGAGACAGTCTGAAAATACCTGGTTAGATGAACAACTTATATTTAGAATATAATGTGTAGGGACGGAGCCAGAAATATAAGAGCAAGTACAAATTATGTAAACTGTTTATACAAATACTGTACTGACTGAAACTGCTGTGTAATTATATAGCTGATATATACAGTAATGCATGTATTATGGTGTAATGTTAAATGTGTAAAATACTGTGGGAACAGTATTTTCTTTTTATGCATTTCAATAAGCTTTATTTGCCTAAGTGTTAAAATATGTATCAAATAACAAAGCAAAGCAAAGTAGACTTCAAACTAAATGCTACTATCAGTTATGAATGTCTTAAAACAGAAGCTTTTTATTACTTTAACTTAAGTCTAAGAAAGACATGTGTTTTTAAGACCTCTTCACAGGGTTCGAGTTATAAACTGAGCTCTATGGGGGTCTTTAAAACTAACGCGTGCTTGCACACACACACACACACACACACACACACACACACACACACACACACACACACACACACACACACACACACCACACACACACACACACACACACACACACACACACACACACACACACACACACACACACACACACACACACACACACACACACACACAGCAGCAGCCCTCTACTTGCTACAAACTTAAATATGAAAAGGTTCAACTATGCACACACACATCATCTCGGCTCGCGCAGCACGCTCACAGGCATAGATTGCGCAATAATGTATTGCGCACCTTGGAGGTGCAGTGCAGGCATATTGTCATTCAAGAGATGCGTAGTTCTTTTGGAAAACATGTTTTTCTTTTATCCTATTTACCTCGTTAACGTAATAATATTCATTACATTGACACATGCGTTATTTGTGATTACAATAATGGTTGTTGGTAATGTATTAGCGACCCCCACAGATGTATGATTTCACTGCGTCCGTGGGAGCTCAGACCCTCCTTAAGGGAGCTCAGCTCCCATTGGCTCCCACATAACTCGAACCCTGCCTCTTCAAAACGACTTATATCACCGCAAAATATAAATTCTTCATTCCTGCAGGCAGATCTGGGATTTTGAAAGCAGTGAGACGTGGTTTAGATGTGTTTTTATTATGTTAATACTTGTATTTTACTTTACTGAGCATCGCTTCAGAGTCAAACTGGCTTTGATATCTGTTACAGCTGATCGTTAAGGGTATAAAACTGACCAACTACAGCTACTTTTATGCAATAAAATCATTTATTTTAATCTATTTACGGTCAAAATGGCAGCTGGTTTGCCGCTGATGTGTTTGTTAGTCTATCCAATTTGTTTGTATATCTTTATAAATGATTTCATGCTTTTTAATAAATTGAAGAAATCCCTAATCAATCACTATTTGTCATTATTTCACAAACAGAATATCCTCCTGGTAAAGTTAACAATAAATAATTGTGCTAGTGCCAGTGGAGGAAGAATGACTGATATTTGTTACTTGAGTAACGGTAGTCATCTCAATTGTAAAAAATACTCTGATACAAGAAAAAGAAAAAGAAAATCTCACTTAAAGGTAGGGTAGGTAAGAATGGAGAAACCAGCTCGAGTGCGCTAGAATTTGAAAGTACACAACCGGAACAAATCTGCCTCTTCCTTCAGACTTCCTTACAGAGCCCCTCCTCCAACACACGAACGCGCACATGACCAATTAGGGCACGAGATAAGTTTGTGCACAGATGGAAGGCTGACAGGCAGGTAGGCCATCCAGTTATTTTAGCCGGGCCGGCTCAGATGATTGGTCGTGCTTTTTACAGCGCCACGGCTTCCACAGATGACATTTTTTTATGGATTTATTGTCAAAGCATTTAATGTATTCATTGCTATCGGGATGTTAAGAGCATTCCATGGAATATAACAAAAAGCGTTTCTGAAGAGAATTACCTACCCCACCTTTAAGTGAAACTACTTAAGTAAAACTATAAAAGTATTGGTCTCAACTTATACTTAAAGTACCAAAAGTACTCATTAAGCATAATGGCTCATTTTAGAATCATATTTGCAGTTTTACAAATAAATATTAAATACATTGATGCATTAATGGACTACTGCTACCCTGCAGTATACAACGTCATTCAAACTAGCTGCACCTTTACCAGCTTTGATAACACTTTAATGCATCAATCATTATAAAACATATCATATATATTATTCTGAAATGGACCAATCTGCACAATGAGTACTTTTGGTACTTTAAGTATATTTTGCCGCTCATACTTTTCTACTTGAGTAACATTTTGAATGCAGGACTTTTACTTGTAACAGAGTATTCCTACACTCTGGTACTTCTACTTTTACTGAAGTACAACATCTGAGTACTTCTCCAACCTCTGGGTATAGTACAAGTACCTCTAAATTGCTACAGTACTTGAGTAAATGTACTTTTTTACATTACACCACTGCTGCTCAGTAGTCTAGTTGACGGTGAATTACTGAATTACTGAATCACTGACCTGAATGGAAAATTATGCAATAAAAGTCGTTTTTTTCTAGTTTGAATAAAGATACAGAAATAGACGATATGCATGTAACTGTGTGTGTACAACAAATAATTGTGTATAATATTTATTAGATGGCTTTTTACAGTAAATCATTGAGGTCAGT